GTTGGTGCCTTTCCTTCTGTTTCTCCTAGCCTATTGCTAGCTACCCGGGCGGTTTAAGACGAATGTCCCGCTCGCGTTCTACTTTCATTTAACTAAGTGGGCCTCGTAACTACTCCTATCTTTCTTTCTTGCCCTCTTAGTCTGCTTTTGCTTTGTTTGCTTTGTCTGTCTTTCTAAGGCTTTTTAGGTGGCTATTAGTTTTGACAAAGCACGCCCTCCACCGGTTTTGAAAAAGCGCCGAAGCCGGCGACCTGTGTGTGTCCACCCCTGGACAAAGGGTTTCAACAGATTCCAAGCAGGGGGCCACAGCTCCTTTCATCAGTCTGTGGCCAACGAAGCTACTGATGATTGGAGAGGATATGAACCTGGGACGCCAGGTTCACGTACCTGCTTTCAACACATTGACTCCAATGGTCCACCCTGCTGCTGTTCGTTGGTTTCATGGTCCTTCTTCATGCTACCTTCCCCCAAACAACAGGTTTTTCCACTGCACTTCTTAGCCGATCGTGAATTGCAGCCAGCCGCCAACTGCAGACTTGCACCTGTGGAAACATTTTTAAACAATACTGTTTTGACTGACTCATGCGCCTTGCTGTTCCATCGCCATCCTTCCCATCGTGGTAATTGAGTCACTGAATACAAGTGTCAGAGTGTGTCAACCCCTGGGCCAAGGGTTCACCACCACTGACTTTTCCACTTTTCCACTTTCGCCCAATTTTCCACCTTGACAGAAGCAGGGGCACTGAGCACTCCTTGGCAAACTCAGTGCAACGAAGCTATGCCTTGGAGGGGGAAGCACGGATTGATCACCCGTGTGTACGTGCGAGAACTTTTCTACAAGCTGTGACTCCACTCTTTCCTTGTTTGTTTCCATGGTGGTTCCATGATACTTCCCCTAAACCATTTCCTCCCCAGCAGAGCTGCAGCATGAGCCGCTTTGTCACCGCAGTCAAGGGAAACAACCATTGTTCAAACACCTACAATTGCACGGACTTTTCGCCATGCTGTTCCACCGCCATCCTTCCCATCGTGGCAATTGAGTCTAACTGAAAACCAATATCGAAGTGTGGACCGCTCAGTCTTCCCACTTGGGTACTGGGTGTGACCCTCCGAAAGGAGGCGCTGAAATCATGCTGGAAATCATCGACCTTTCAATTATATACCTGACGTCCTGTTTGTTCAATTCTATCACTGAATTAACGGATTTTCGAGCCGCCGGGCTATAAACGACGGACTACCCATAAGAATTTCTGAATGCCTTCTGTTTTGCATTGAATGATGTCGATTTCTGCACTTTGTGTTTATCAATTTTTAATCCGCAGCCGTTTGATCAGCTTCCACGTGGTCTATACCACTTCGCATTGCACTGCATACACATTTCCACCTCACAACGCCACCGCTGCGGCAGAAGCGCTGATCCAACTATACGCCCAAAAAGGGCATGACCTGCAAGCGTGCAGGCGGTTTTTGGGAAAAGGTCCGTTCTCCACTGTTTTGGTTTTTGCGCCGATTGCGGCTTGTTGTGTGTGTCAACCCCTGGGCCAAGGGCTCACCACCACTGACTTTTCCACTTTTCCACTTTCGCCCAATTTTCCACCTTGACAGAAGCAGGGGCACTGAGCACTCCTTGGCAAACTCAGTGCAACGAAGCTATGCCTTGGAGGGGGAAGCACGGATTGATCACCCGTGTGTACCTGCGAGAACTTTTCTACAAGCTGTGACTCCACTCTTTCCTTGTTTGTTTCCATGGTGGTTCCATGATACTTCCCCTAAACCATTTCCTCCCCAGCAGAGGTGCAGCTTGAGCCGCTTTGTCACCGCAGTCAAGGGAAACAACCATTGTTCAAACACCTACAATTGCACGGACTTTTCGCCATGCTGTTCCACCGCCATCCTTCCCATCGTGGCAATTGAGTCTAACTGAAAACCAATATCGAAGTGTACGAACAGATTTGGGGGGCCCACAAAGCTGGAGCTCATCGTGTGACAATGTTGGATTCTAGGCAGCTCTTCTGGGGCTTTCCCATACCGATGGCACCTGAGAGTTCTAGAAACGGCGATAGACAGAAAGAGAGAGAAGAAATAAATATAGCAGATTATCGCTTCTAGGTCCCACATCAGGGCTTCAGATCTGTTCATATCTCATTTCTTCCCCCCACCTGGTCCCCTCCCAAACGGTCGGGTCTTGTCGCCACCTGGCACTGAGCGATTTCGGCAAGGCCGGCAGCCCATCCTCATCCACATCGAGCACCAGCTCTTGCCTCGTGCGGGCGACGGATCCTCACCGGTCAGCCGGTCGAACCGAAGAAGGAAAGGATTCTCTGAGGACCTCGTGGATTCACCCGCCCAGATTGGATCCCAAACAGCTCCGGTTTCGGGGAAACGCAACCAGGTTGAGCTGGTTGATCCAATCGCGAGGTCAAGGAATCTCAAACAGGATCAAAGAGGTATATTGTTCTTGTGATTAAGCAAGCGCGCTGGGATCTGTTCATCACCAACCTGGAAAGTAGATCTTCTGTTCTGACTGGATATGAGTCGGTACCTGGTGGAAAGAAGAAAAAGCACATCTGAGGACCCAAAGCCATGCTGAGTCTCCATCCAGCAACTTGGTGCCCGCAAAAAAATTGTCCATGGCGAGGTGTATATATATATATATATTATATATAGTGACGGACACATACTTAGAACCCCATGATTGTTCCAAATGATTAAATTTCCATACTAAGAACCCTTTGGCCCTGTGAATACTTAGAGCCATCCAAGAATTGCAGGCCAAGAATACTTAGAACCCCCAAAATAATACCAGGTTCATAAGTATGAGTCCGTCACTTTTTTGTATATATATATATATATACACGTCGGTGCGGTCGCCCCACCAGGGGCATCGCAGCGGCGCCTTTCTACGCTCCAGCCTAAAGGTTCCGCTAGACATGGCGTCCGACCATGTGCTCATCACAATTCACACTCCTCAAAATATATATATGATCCAAGTTTTCAATGGCCTTCATGGCCAAAGCGACGGGCTTCCTTCGAGCCTGGATACGTCACTCCGAACTTGGAAATTCCGGGGCTATACTGGACTGCCTTCAAATATGCACGGGTGTCATCCATCTTCGAGGATTTGACTCCGCTGTTGGTGACCCATGTCAAGTAATCCCTCATTTCTTTACACGAGTCAGCTTCTGTGACCATCATATCGTATGTCATGTCACGTTTGGCTACCTTTGGTAGCTCACAAATGGTGGAGCCCCACTGCTTCAGTGACTGAAGACCTTCAGGCAGGCGGATCTCTGTTCCAGCATGAGAAGAGTAGCCGACCTGACGTGGAAGCACCGGTGCTTGACTCATCTTCTTTGGGGTCGGAGTCACACTTTGAGTCAAAGCAATCACCTCAAACTGATCCAGCTCTTCCTTCGCAGACACCACAGAACTCGTCAATCTGCGTTTTGAGCTGTCATTCATCGATCCTTGCGCTGTGTCGGTCGAAGTGGAAGCGGATGCTTCGTGCAGCAGCTGCTCCAATTCACCGCTCTCGTTCAAGGCTCGAACTAGCTGCTTGAGCTCTTCTTTAGAGAAATTTTGGTACATGGCTGACACGTCACCTAGAGTTGAGGAGACAATCGGAGAGTCTGATCACACCGAGAAAACTGTGCCCTCTTCGCACTTGATTGCTCAGATTCAATTATATGCATTGAAACACATTTCGTTATCACATCGAGTAACGCAAAAGCATCTGCAAAAGAAAGTATCTATATATATTGTGTTACGAAATGCTCACATTTCCACAATGCGTTTCCCCTCACATTCGTACCCCAGAATGTGCGCTGGGTGCTCACCAGCCCTCACCCAAAACCAGAGAAACAATCCAAGCGGCCTGGACATGTAGAGTAGGACGAAACGTGACTATCGACAAAAGCAACCAAACAAACAAAAAGGAAGTCCTGCATCACACAAAACAAATCTGGCAAACAGAAACTCAACTGGCGTCCAAATGCACTCAGTCTGCTATTCTCTAGAAAAACCCCATCCTACTGAATTAGGAACCCTTCTGTTTCGGCTTGCTTCTCCTTAGTGCTGCTTCTCGTGCTTCATGCAACGCCCGTCTTTCTACTCGTGCTTGACGTTGGTTCTTTTTTAGCTCCAGGATCATGGCTTCAGGATTCAACTGGTATTCCCCCACGGACAGTGCCGCCCGCAAGAGATCTGCCGGATCCTGCTGGTCCTTTGTTAGAGCGTCTGCGAGCATGAGTTGTGTTGGGCACCACCTAACCACGAGACCTGTTCGAGACATGCACTGTTTGAGTATTGCAAGGTCTATTGCTATCCTTTTATCTTCGCACTTACTAACTGATGACATGGATATCATATGGTCATATAAACTCTTGCAATCTGTGACACCCACGACAGGAACTAGGTCCAGCTCATCACGGCATTTCAAATTTGACACTCGTGGCTGTGTTTGCACTTGCTCTGTTGTCCGAAGATCAAATCTGCCATGCTTTGCTTCTGCTATGAGCAAGCTCATCCACTCAGCCGTAGCACTAGCTGTCGTGAAAGCCTGTGCCTCCCCTGCTAGTGTCGAGGCCACCACTCTCGGCAATTTGTATGACCGCCAAGCAAACGGAGACCAGCTTGCTGCCTCATTCTGTACTAGTCTTTTGCTCACAAAAGCTGCAATGAACCCTGCCTGTGTCTTGTGTTGCTTTGCATTACCAAAACCTGCATCTGAATGAAAACAGATAGCCAAATCTTCCCATGGAATGCTCTTCACTGTAACATCAGTGTGACTAAACTGTTTAGCCCGATGCACCAGTTGGTTTGCAAACAACAAATCCCGAACTCTAGGTTGAGGAAAGCTCTGTTGTGAAAAGGAGGTCTGAACGCACAGATCTGGTCTTGACTGCGAACTAAGCCAATTGCATGCTCCGTTGATTGCCCTCAAGGCTGAGATCTCCCGGTCAGTTGCCAGAGACTCTTTGTCCTTCAACCGTTCTTTAGAGAGAGAAATGGCCCGAAGATGTTCTGCATATTCTTTTTGATGGTACGTGATCTCAAAACTTCGCATGTCTTGGCTATATTGCACCCCACAAAATTCACCATTGCCAATCCTCCATTTTCTGTACGGGAAATGAGTCTTCAGCGCTTGAATTGCTGAATCGTAGGTTGCCCCGTGTCCCCCCGTGATGGTGTCGTCTACATGGGCTCCCATCACACCACACATGGCTCCCTGACTCAACGGATCCGGAAGGTAGTATAAACAGTTGTCAAACTGAGAACGAACCCAACCAATCTTTCTTGCAGTCTCGTCGAACTTAAACCACCAGTTGAAAGGGGCATCGTTGGACCCGTAGACGTTGCCTGTGACCTCGATCACATCATCCGGACTGAGTCCTGGGATCCCTCCTGGAGGTTGATGCGCATACAAAGGACTAAATTTGGGGTTCAAAGGTCCTGCTTCCAGAAAAGCCCCCTTGATGTCCCCTAGCTGCATCGTCCATTGCTTGCTGACTAGAATTTGTAAAATCAATGATCTTGACAAAGGGTGAAGTGTGGGACTGTGGCAAGCCCCTGACTGGATCTTCTCCTGGGAGTCAGGATCCAAGTGCCCTTGTAGGCACCAGCGACTCTTGACTCGCTCCCCATCCTCATCCTTCTTGTTGATCACAACAAAACGACTGCCAATGAACCGATGTCCAAAACGCTCTTTGATCTCTTTGGCTTTCTGTCCAGTCCACACACGAACAGCTTGTTTCCCTGACAATGTCTCCCATTCTGTAATCTTGGATCCATCAACCTTCTCTTGGATGTCGGATGGGTTGCCAGTGGACGGAATCTCTTTTGCTGCTCGCTTCTGCAAGAATCCTGCTATCAATGCTTCGACATGACTCTGGCCACTTCGCACTGGAACCTCCTCTCCTGGAGAAACAAATGAACACAACAATGCCTCGTCCTCATATCGTTCAGTTCGACTGCGAGTGCGCGGTCCGTCATCAATGTCGGCACTGGCCTCTCTCTTGCTACTAGTGCCTCTGGGACTGAAGCTCTCGGTCTCTGGTGTCTCTAGCAACGAAGGAATAACCTCTTGCAGCAACTCTGACAGATCTTCCTGTTGCATCTCCATTGGACGAAAGAGATATTCCGGGGGTGACTTGACTGTGTGTCGAACCCGTCTGATGGGACCATAATCCTCTGTACGACCTAACGGTGTCCAGGAAGACGTTCCCCCCTATCGAGAATACGGCACATGTTCTGGTGTTGTCTCATCTGCATTGTAGTCTTCCTTTTGAGTCTTGGTCTCATTCACGACAGCTTCACTCCACAAATCGGCCGCGGATCGTGCCGCGGAATGCCAGCCTTCTGCCCGGTCAGAAATTTCTGGAGATGGCGGAAGTGTGGTATTGACCAAATCAACAAACTGTCCTTTTGGAAATTGTCCCTTTTCTAACAAGTTCTTGATTCCCAGCAATTCGTTGTCATCAAAATCTGCAACTGTTTTCTCTTCTGAGGTTGCATGCCGTAGATGTTCTGGTGAACAGCGAAACAAACTTCGTCTGTGCGCAACAATATAGTTCACCCCCAACTTACCCAAAATCATGCCAGCCCCATGCCAACGACCTCCCCTTAGCAACTGCCCGTCTGACCACTTTTGTGATCTCCAGTAGTAAACCCAGTCACCTGAGCAGAAGTCCTGGCGGAGTCTTGGGCGAGCTCGGATGGCCGCCTTCAAGGCCTTGTGGTCTTGGCATTCCAGCACCGCTTGTCGCGCTGCTTGCCGCACGAGATGTGCCCGATCGAACGGCGAGTCGCTCTCGGCGGCGTCAACTGCGGGTAAGTGTGGATCATCTTGCAACAAATCTTGAGGGATGCGGGGATTGCGTCCAAAAACAATCTGAAAAGGGCTTGCTCCTGCTTCTGTAATCAGGGTGTTTTTGGCTATTTGGGTCTGAAGAACGTTGTCAACAAACTCTTCGGCATTCTTGGGTGGATGCTCTTCACATACCCGAGAAAATATCTTTTCGAACCAACCTCCATGTCTCTCGACTTTCCCCAGCTGCCAATGTGAGTCTGCAGCTGTGTATAGGAGATCTATACCAAGTCCCTCACAGTATTCTCCCAAAGCGTCACTCAGGTTTGGTCTGCTTGGGTCCAATTCCAAAACCTTTGGGGGCCCGGCCCATGCAATCCAGGAGTCCCGCAGAACACCCTTCAACAACTCAGCGTTTTCTTTCTGGAAAATGGGTGCCATTATGTGCAATGACGATGCATAGTCAACAATGCTGATGCACGGAACTCTCTGATTGGGTTTCCAGCCGGGGAGGTACTTGACGTCCATCCCAACTCGCGCGTTAAACTCCATGATTCTACTAGTCTTAGCAGGTAGGGATGCATGCGGAAGCTTATGGTTACTACACACGGTACATGTGAAGTTCTTTGCTACCTCCAGAGCTTCTTTAGAAGCCTTACTATGCTGCAAGATACGCACCAAATCCCTGTTGTGCGGATGGCCGAGGTTAACATGCAATTTCCTAACAGCTCGCAACACACTGGGAGTACCTTGGGTGTGATCAGCATGTATGACCTCCGCGTCTTCTTGCTCTGGTCCGGCCCTGTCTCCTTCGATCTCACCAATGAGACACTCTGCACCTTCGCACTCAGCCAAGTCGATAAAGTCGACCACACTCACATGTTGTTGTGCTTGGCAGGCTTTTAACATGGCTTGAACGAAAGATGGGGTGTACTCTGCTGCAAAGTCGCTCACGTTTTGTCCTGAGTTCAGTTTTCCTTCAACCAAACGATGTTTCTCACACCCCTGACACTGATGGAAATGAGTGGACTCCTTGATGGATGAAAGGATCCCCGTGGCTTTTCTGATGGGGATACCCGTGTCAGGACACTTCAACCCGTAGGCGCGCATGTCAACTCTGCGGACTCCATACTTCCTACGAAGAGTGATCATGTCCCCATCGTCCCACACTTCGGAACCCCACGGATGCTCAAAGATAAAATCACCACCTCGACTTATCTGCTTGCGAATCTGTTGGAGAGCAAAGCGAACCTGATCTCTAGATGCTCGAATTAGCAAGGCTGTCTCGAAAGGAGACCGCTTGGTCCTATTCAGATGCTCCCACCTGCCTCGATGCGTGCATGGTGGACACGCCACCAAAAGTCGAGGGCGGACGCGATCGAGTTCCGCATCCACTTGCGACTTCACATTTGATTTGGAAAGGTCCCACCCCTGCTTAATATCATATGCTATCCCTTTTCCCCCCTGCCGAACAGCCTCAGTGGAAAAACGAGGAGGAGAAAATAACTCAGCAACCATGATACCAGCATCTTCGGTCTGGGAAACACGTTTCATCTGAGCAAGCAAGCATCTACACTCTTTCTTTTTCAGTGTGATTTTTGTCTTCTGTTTTTGACTTGAGCCCTGCGCCTTCTGTTCAACCTTCTGCTGGTCGTCCTTTGTGGAACGAGCTGTGTCTCTGTCGTGTTGATTACCGCGAGGCTTCGGGGTAGCTGTTTCTCTCGCTGGATATGCTAGGACATCCACCAGCAGCTGACCAGCCTCATTGGTCTTGAGATCGGTCGTGCAGCCGAGAAGCTCCATCTGTCCTTGAGCGAAATCCAGTTTCACAGCCATCTTTTCCAACGTTGGTCGTCCAAGCAAAAGAGGAGCTGAGCCCGCAATAATGGCTGCGTCAATCAAGCCAAACTTGTTTGCGATCCCGACAGGTAAGCGGCATGCACGTTTTGCCACTTCCGTTGCTCCATTTCCGAACCTGAACACATTCTCAGACTCATAGTACTGCACAGAACCAAACCCTCGAGCCTTGATCACGGGTTCAAGCTGTTTGAGAGTTTCTTCTCCGATCAGGGTGCGTCCGCACCCACTGTCCAGTACTCCAAAGCCCGGTGAGGAAATCAGGCCAGCGCTAAACACCGTGGTCATCACGTGTCCCACAAAGGTTGGCTCCACTCCATATCCAGCCTCAGTGGTTGGCTCTGAGCTCTCAACATAGTTGGCTGCCATGGGAGGAGTGCTCGAAGAAGAAGCTTCTTTCGCACTTGGTGGCTGCCTGCACTCTCTGGCCCAGTGGCCTACTTTGCCACAGCGATTGCATTTGGTTCGCCTTTTCAGCTCTTCTACTTCCACTTTGAACTGCCTTTTGGAAGTGCCATGAGAACCGAATTGTCGACTCTTCTGCACCTTTGCTATCTCCTTGCGACGCTCTTTCCAAGTCACAGCGAGGGCTTCGGCTGCCTCTTGTTCAGTGAACACAGCCTCTTCTGTAGTGGTCTCGTGCTCATGTTCGGCGATGAAGGCCTCAACTTCTTGCAAGTAAGCATCGTCCGTGTAGGACATCTCTGGTGCAGCTTCGAACTCGTCAGTCATAACGTCGACTTGCAGAGCTCCAACTGGCTTTCTGCGACTGGCTGTTGCTTTGTACAAAGGAAAACATGACCTCATGGCAGCGGCCACGGCTTCGTAGTCTAAGCTGCCTTGTGTCTTGGCCTTCACTATGGCCTTCTGTTCCTCAGTCAAGCCTGCACAGTTCAACGTAATCCAGCCCTGAGCGGCAGCTGGAAAAGCCACTCCCGCTCGTCTCTCGCATCTGTCAAACACTTCTCGAGCTCGAGCCGTCCACTGCTTGATGGACTCGGCTTCGTTGGCTGACAGTGCAAACACTTCGCCCAGCGATTCTCCTAGCAAGTCATGAGCCTCTTTTTCTGGAAATCGTTTCTGCAACACTTTCCAGATCTTTTTGTCACCACCTGACACTGCAAGGTCGTCTAAGGTCAGGTGCTCACAAGCATCCCAGGCACGACCATCTAGAAGCGTCAGGATCCATGGCCCCCTTTGTTCAGGTTTGATGTCTTTCAACGTAACCAGTTTGGCCTGGGCCCATGTCTTCCACTTTTTCAACGCCTTACCCGGGTCATCGCCCTCACCGTCAAAGCGGCGATGACCCTTGTCTTCACTCATGGCAGCGGGTGCACTACCTAGTGACACTCACTGCGAGCCCCTGGTGGGGCTCCGCTACCAATGTCGGTGCGGTCGCCCCACCAGGGGCATCGCAGCGGCGCCTTTCTACGCTCCAGCCTAAAGGTTCCGCTAGACATGGCGTCCGACCATGTGCTCATCACAATTCACATATATATATAATGCGAGCAGGAGTATCAGCACCACTGCCTATATAGGGATCTTTCATGCCTTGTGTTTTGCTTGAGTCATTGCAATCCTGTAAATAAAATACTCCTAGTTCGCCTCCACCCAAAGCGCCTGAGCTGCAAAGCGCTGTATATATATAGGGATCTCCCATGCCTTGCATTTTGCTTGAGTAATCTGCAATCCTGTAAATAGAACCGAACACATATAGTAAGACTCATATATAATCATATATATACAGTATATCCTCCTAGTTTGCCTCCACCCAAAGCGCTGAGCTGCACAGCGCCATTCTATCGCGTTCTTCTGGCGATGTCGTTGAAGTCTGTGTTCACAAAGGTTGGTCACAAAGGTTGGTCACAAAGGTTGGTCACAAAG